TATAAAATACAAATTCCTCATATTGTCATTCAAGGTCTTCCACAACTAGAGTCCAATTTCCCTTTACAGCCTTACTTATTTCACACTACTCTCATGCTATGTTACAATCAAACTGGAAACATGACAGCTCTCACCACCCTGCATTTGAAAAGCCCAGTTGTATATCTGGGGCTCTCTCCTATTTAGATACCTTATCTTCTTTCTACAAGGCTCAGTTCTAGTACTACCTTCCTCCTATCATTATTCTTCTCAGCTGTAGTGTTCCCTTCCTCCTCACACATTCCTAGTGCAATCTGTCTTCTCATTTCTTTCACCCCTTCACTTCCCAACAGAGACAGCATCTCTTCCCTCCCCTCACACACACAGAATGAAAGTTTCCATAAGGGAGGGGATTGGTTCTTTTGTCTTTGTAACCCCATCACTTGGCACAGGACTTTGTACAGTGTGGGTGCTTATCAAATGTTTATTGAGTTGAACAAATCTATCTCACTACTAGAATAATAACTGAAATTATATACCTTAAAAAGGCAAGGTCATCTTGATATACAAAAGGACTACATCAAATGACATCCCTACAGCATAAAGATTCAATCATCCCTTCTCAAAATTTTTCTGCAACATCCTAACTTAACCCAAGAGATCAATTTAAATACAAATTCAATGGATAATGAAACATACCTCCCTCCTCTTGGCAAAGAAGTTGATTTTGCTTAACTGTTTTTCTTTGTTACAAGGGAGGGTTCAATTATGGATGTGGGGATGGGGGGGGGAAGATCCATAAATGTCTGTGATGTAAAAACAAAAGGCAGCAATAAAATTCACTTCAAAATAACAACGGCAACAACAATGAATTCAATAAACATGTATTAAAGTCCATACTACTAACATCTATTACAAATTCCAGCCTTAGCCCTTTCCCCACTGTGCCTAACAGCAATCATAATTCCTGATTCATAATCATTTTCACTCAAGCATTCTAACCAGAATACTCAAATTTACACATTATTCCTTCTCCAGAATCCAATTCTTTGCAAAGCTGTCTCCCATGCCTAGAATAGTCTACTAGTTTTCCTCCAAAAATAAATTACATCCCACAATATCTTCTCAGCCCAACCAAAACCTATGTTCATTAGTTATTCTCCTGTATTAACCCAGGTTTGCCAACCATCCCTATAGATTCAATTATGTCCAAATGGCTCTTTTTATACATGTCATATAGTAGATGGAGGACTAGGCCTAGAATAGTGAGAGCTTGGGTTCAAGTACTACTCCCTTGACACTATATATGTGACACTATCTTGGAAAGTTACTTATCCACTCTAAGCCTCAGTTTCCTAAGTGGTGAAAATAAGATCTGTAGCAACTACTTCACAGAACTGTGAAGATTAAATGAGATAATGTATTTAGAACAATTTGTAAACCTTAAAGTGCAACATGTCAGCTACCATTTTTATCAGCTTTTTATTAGGTTCAGTTTCCTCAATGGGGAAAAGAATGTCTGCAATACTGACTCTGCTAAATTTTGAGTCTGTAAGACCTGAGTTAAAATCTTCCCTCACTTACTATCTTTGTGATCTCAGGTAATTTGTGTAACTTCTCTGCCTCAGTTTCCTCATCCATAAAATTATAATAGCACTTGCCTCACAGGGTTCTTGTGTGGATCAAGTAAGACAAAACATGTAAAAGCTCTTCTCAAAGCTAAAAGTGCTATATAAATGCTAACTATTACTATTATTGTCAAGATGAACTATAATAATATGTTAAACACATTTTAAACTTTAAATGGCTACATGAATGTCAGCTGCCATTTGTATTATACTGAAGTCTGTGTTGCCTATTTATTGCTTTTTGCATCTTATATATAAGCTTCATTTATCTAACTACTCTACAGAGAGGATAAGGGCAGAGGACAAATCTAATAAAAACTACTCCCCAGCATTGAGCCCACTGGCAAAATCACTTCAATAACTGTTTGTTCCTAAGGATTTACTTACAAGATCTGAAAGGCCATGAGGACTGTGACCATATTTTAATTCTTTATTTCACTTAACACCTAGGACCATCAACAGACAGTAGGAGTACAATAAATGTTTAATAGATATGCAAATGCACTGTACTAAGTGCTAAGGAAAATACAAAGATCATAAAATAGTGTGAAGAATGGACAGCAGTGATAAAGAAATAACACTACTCTGCTTCTCTATGTAGTCAAGAAAGATGGATGGTTCTGCTACTAACAGTGGAAGATCCACCACTGGATTTCTGTTGTCCTCTAATTCATGACAGAGATGGGATCACCCGTTATGTTTATTTATTTTTCCTTCTTAACCACCCTGAGTCTACATTTTCACTAGATGACTACTTTTCTCATCCTCCCCAGTGTTTCTACATTCTCAATAAACTCCTTGCAATTATTTTCAGTAATGTGCTTTTATAGTGTTTTTCATAAAAATCTTCCCAAATACAGAACAAGACAATAAAGAATAATATAGCTGGAAACTTCTCAGTCAAAAGATATCTTTTGAGTTGAAGAGCAAAGTACTCATTTAAATGTAGACCTCTTTCTGTGATTTGCTAATCAACTTTCAATCACTTATTGAAATACTTAATAATTATTTCTAAATTATCTAAGTTATTTTCCATCCTAGAAAGAAACCAGAGGGACAGTTCCAAACAAATATGAAAACATAGGCTTAACAGTTTAGAATGACAGTCAAGACCATCAAAACAATTTTAAAAATCAACAAAATTCCTGCTGTGTATACCTTAAACCTACAGATGGAGCTCTAGTATCATTAATAATTTTTTATGGCAGCAAGGAAACAAATAATATTGAAATAAATTGATACTTTATTAAACCAAAATGTCTATATAGGCAGGTATGGGCAAAATTTAAAAATCTAACTGAATAACTGAATTGTAAATGTATCAACAGCCAAAAAAAAGAAAGTCAAACCTAAAAAATTGGAGTCTTAATCTCTTCTACCTTCATGGCCCCAATTTATATTCAGAAGCAAATTCAACATTTATTACAATTTTACTATGTTCTATCTAGGCACTAAGAGTACAATGGTAAAAACAAAAGTCTCTGCCCAAAAGGAGTTTATATTCTATTGGGGTACACAAAATATAATCACATAAGTGTACAAGGAAATTGTGGGAGGGGCTACCACTACAACTAGAAAGGCAGGGGTTGGGGGAGGGGCTGTCCAAGTTGAGCTTTGAAAACAAGGATTTCAGGACATACAGATGTGGAAAGAGTATATGGTTTGAATATGCTTGTGCAAATACCCAAAAATAGTAGACGGGCTATCAAGATCGGAAAATATTTAGTAGTAGAGCTTGGTTGAAATGTGTTGTTTGTGAAGGACAACGTATAAAATATGACTTGAATGAGCAAGAACAAGAACATGGAGAACCTTAAAGTCAAAGTAAGGAATTTGTATTTTATCCAATAAGCAATGGAAACCCATCATCTTAATGGGTTAATGCCAATGATCGCTTTTTGAAGATTATTTGGAAACCAAATAGAAAATGGCTTGGAGAGGAGACACCAGAAGAAGAGAAACCAATTGGGAGGATACCATAGCATTGCAGGAGACACGTGAGGAGAGCCTGCCTGCACTGAGGTAGTGGTCATGGAAATACAAAGAGACAGGACAGATGTGAGAGATGTTGCAGAGAGATGTTGACAAGAGTTGGCAAATGGTGAGATACAGGAGATAAATAAGGGGAAGGACACAAAAATGACTCTAAGATTATAAATCTGGTTGCCTGGGAGGATGCTAGCACCTTCACCAAAAACAGGGAAGTTTGGAAGACTGGAAGGTTTTGAGGATGGAAGAAATAATGAGTTACATTTTCTAAGTACTGAGTTTGAGATACCTATCCTATATCTAGTAGGAGATAAACAGGAGGCAGCTGGTGATTCACGATTAGCACTCAGGAAAATGATAACAGCTAGATATACAGATGTGAGAATCAATGGGAGAGGTGGTACTTTAGCTCCTAGGTGCTGAAACTGAAAGTGAAATACAGCTGCACTAGTGTCTGAATAATCAAGTGATTCAAAAGAACACAAAAATAGGATAGCTGGACTGTTACACCCATAGAACAGATTAAAATGTAAAACTCTGCTTTGGAGAAGTTTATAAAACATCATGGGATCACAAATTTAGAGCTAGATGAGTACCAAAACCCCTCATTTTACAAATGATGAAACTGAGGTGTAGATGGGTCAGGGGGTTGCCTAGGGATTATGCTAGAAAGGAAGTAGGTACCATAATGTTTAACATATACTTTTAGCGTGCATAAGAAAATGGCATTCTCATAAAAGCATAAATTTAGAACTACAGGAGACCTTAGCAGCCAAACTAATCTAACTTCCTCACTCAACAAAGGAGGATCACTGAGAGTTTAAGTAACTTTCAAAATAAACAAAAAGATCAGCTTTACTTTCCTCTTCTAAAAAACGGTCATCATCCCTGGTAATAGTGATTTTTTAAAGTTAAGCAAACTACTAGAATTTATAAAAATAATTAACTCACATATACACAGTGCTTTAAGGTTTACAAGGGGCAGACATCTGTTAATTTATTATACACCGGATCACAACTTCAGGCTGGAAGGAATCTGAGGGGCCATCTGGGTCAATCAATACAAATGAGGAAACTGAGGCCCGAGCGGTCAGACAGGGAGTGGAGAGGATTCAAACCCCAAAGCTCTGACACTCCAGACCCAGTGCACATTCCACTGCACCCCTCTACATCTCAAAGAAACCCGAAAATTAACCGCAGGTCCCATCCACCGCGGCCCCGGGCGTTTCCCTTTGAGTCCCAGACCCGCCCAAATTCCTCTCACTTTCTTTGCTAGATTTATCCCTGCCTAGTCTGCCCTCTCCTCCCCTCCCCTCCCAACTCCCTTCTCCTCCTGGCAGGCCTCTCTCTTCCCTGGGGCTTGTCTCTCAATGAGCCGAGCTGACGGTGAAAGGGGGGCCTTACTTGGAAGGGACGTCTGGAAGTGCACTAACAGCAAGAGGAGGAGTGAAAGGGATGGAAAGCACCGGGTGCCGCAGCTACGAGCAAGGCCCCTTCCCCGGGCCCTCCTCAACAGGACCCGGGCTCCGCCCTCCATCCCAACGGTGCCTCCTACTGGTACTTGGCCCCGAACGTCGTTACCATGGAGCTCGAAAAGAACGCTGCTCCACTGCGACTGCGCAACTGGAATGTACAGAACGCAGGCGAAAGAGGGAGGAGGACCAGTGAAGGAACCAGTGATAGGAGGGGAGGAGCCAGTGGAGGGGCGGGACCAGTGATAGGAGGGGAGGGGGCGGGACCAGTGGTGGGACCAGTGATAGGAGGGGAGGGGCGGGACCAGTGATGGGACCAGTGATAGGAGGGGAGGAGCCAGTGGAGGGGGGGGGCCAGTGGTGGGACCAGTGATAGGAGGGGAGGAGCCAGTGGAGGGGCGGGACCAGTGGTGGGAGGAGAGGGGAGGGGCGGGTTCTCTCCAAATTGGGGAACTGGATGTGAAGGCTTCTTAGAGCCTGGCTGGGAAAGTTCGTGTGGGACAGGAAGGGAGAAGATCTAAGACTAGGCACCAGTCTAGGCGCCCCTTGAAGTTTCTTCCAACTGTGATTCTGAAAGCTGTGTGTCTTTGAGTTCCTTGATTGCTCAGTCATCTCTGAAGCAAGGGTTTCTCCGGGAGATTTCATCAGTTCCCATGGGGCAAGGGGTGTTTCGAGGGGACAACTTCCCTCAACGTATCCTTTCACTGTCCTATCCAAAGCACGTGTTCCCAAGGTAAAAATAATACTAAAATGCTTTGATTTTTAATAAGATAAATATCAAAGGAGAGATGCTGCATAAACAAAAGTTCTTGGGAATAGAGGTTCTCCATAATTTTTGAGAGTGTAAAAAGATCCAGAAACAAAAAAAGTTTGAGAATCATTGTTCTAGGAAACCCTCAAAGACTAAAAATTGCAGAGAAGTTGATGACTTGCACTGGTAGAATGAATTTCTTCATTAAGGGATTTCCCTAAATCAGTGAACTCACAAGTTGAACCTACATCCCAAAAACTTTTTTCAAGGAACCACACCCACAAAAGGAAAAAAAAATAGTACCCTGGCTCAAGCAGTGGAAGTTCTGCTGGGGGGCAATACAACAGTAAGCATGATAAATATTGTTTGTTGTTTAGTCATTTCAATTGTGTGTGATTCTTTGGAACCTCCTTTTGGGGTTTTCTTAGAGATGCTGAAGTGGTTTGCCATTTCCTTTTCCAGCTCATCTTATAGATGAAGAAACTGAGGCAAACAGGTTAAGTGAGTTGCCCAGGGTCCCACAGCTAATATCTGAGGTCAGATTTGAACTCAAATCCTGGTTGCAAGCCTAGCCTGCTGAGCCACTGAACCACTAAGTAATAATCAATTAACATCTATTAAGCATCTACTATGTGTCAGGCACTGTGCTAAACACTAATAATAGCTTTTATTATATATTGTTACATTAAATTGTGTCATATTATATCATATCATGTCATATCACATGGTTAGTGCATGGGAGAATAGCCTGGGAGAGAATGGAGGGGTCAAGGCATTGGAGGTCACAGTGCAAATGAAGAGTAGGGCCAGTCACTTCAGTGTATCCATTAACTGTATTCTAAGGAAATAAGTTTTATTTCAGATACCTCTGCTGATATTGTTTGATTTTTTTTTCATCTGGCATTTCTGCCATCAATATTTTATTATTGCATTGATAGTTTCATTTGATCATTTATCTGAATATCCTTTCAAAATATCCTCTTGTGCATTTCTACCCATTTCATATTTTTATGTTTCTGTATTGTTTTTGAGGGGAATATTGCAGATCTAAGCTTCCTATGATCTTCCAATCTTCTATTTTTCCTGAATACCATTAACTCATTCTCCTTTCTAGCTCAATGTTACAAAACCTTGGAGCTAAGTCCTGCAAGAATATTTTCATTAGCGCTTAGGGGATTAAGTGTCATTTAGGATAAGTAGGAAAATAAATCTTAAATGAGTTAAGAACTCATCTCATTTTTTCTACTGAGTGTATCAAACATAATTTTTCAAAGTTCATTTTATGCAGGTACAGAAAGTAATAGCAGGATATGTAGCATTTAATATATCACTTTAAGATTTGCAAAACACTTTAACAAAGAGTATCTCATTTTATCCTCCCCAAAACCTAGAAAGAAAGGTGATATTATTACCCACATTTTATAGATGAGGAAACTGAGGCAGATAGATGTTAAACGATTTGCCCAGACTCACACAGTGTATGTCTGAGGCAAGTTATTCATATCTTCTTGACTCCAAGTCCAGAATTCTACCTACTGTGCCAAGTAGATGATTGGAATATTTTTATTTATATTTAATCTAACAATTAGATTGCCCATTTTGATTTATATTTCTCATGTAATATTAGTTAATAAGTTATAGTTAGTTATAATTAAACTCAATAATTCTTTAAGAAGGAAAATATCTTCCCGGGTTCTGGTAAAGATGCTATCACAGCAGTATTATGAACAAAGGCTAATTGTTTTTTCCCCCCTTGGAATTATATTATGATGTGTAAAATTCCGTATTTCAATACATGTCAATGTTTTACTGTTGCCAAGCAACAAAGTAACTCATCATTCTTTCTGCAGCCAAGTTCTTCTGCTACATGACTGTCTTTTGGGGACAGAGAAAGGAGGGCAAATCATTTTTTTTTCTCCCTTTTTAAAGCAATTAAACTACCCTGCAGGTTAGAAGTATGAACAAATTTTTCTACTAGACAAACTCTAATTTCCATTTATCAGAAAAGAGTTTATAAAGTCTTTATTTTAAATTGTGGTCATTAAAACTTCAAAAAAGCCAAAATGATATCAGATCATAGATTTGGACAGATCATTATCCCTAAGCATCCCATCGATGCAGTAAAAATGCCATTGAGGAAAATGGACTACCCTCACTACTGTCATCTCCTAAAAAGAATGAAAATGCCCTTTGTGAGAGGAAACGAGGACAGACATTTCTATGGCAGTTTTGAAGACAAAGACAGCCTTGCTTTCCTGAAATTTCACCCTTATCCTTCTCCTGTCCAGCCAGACTATCATTTATACCATCCTTATCCCCCACCTCCTGGGAAAGATTATGCTTTATTTCCACATCGAGATGATGTGCCATTGGGTGATCCTTGTTCAGGGTTTATGAGTCCTGGAGGTGATGCTGATTTGCTGCCTGGAGTTGGCAAAACTATCCCAAACTTAGTAAGTTACTCTGATGTGAAACCTCAACAACGAATCCCTTTAACAGACCAAGAATTGCAGACAGAAGTTAAGAAGCAAACAATATTATTAGAAGAACTAAATGAGGACCCAAGGTGGAATTCCAGGAAAGTATCTGATGCTGCCATCAGAGCGAGACTTGGAGGTAAATAAAAAGATAGTTTTATTTTTTTTAGCTCCAGAATTAGTGAAAGGGGTATATATAGATATAGATAGATATATATGTATATATATATATATGGGTATTTGGGTGTGTGTGAGTGTGAGACAGATGTATAACATTCAAAAATTAAGCAGTAAAATACACATCTTAAGACAAAATATTGCATTTGAGGCTATAAAATCAGTGATAAAATAACTAATATCCTATTATATAAAATGTATGCTAATTATTATGTGATCAATATCAAAGGGCATTCATTATATGAGATCATCTAGATTATACTTGTAAGCAAAGAAGAAATGAGTTGCCAACTGCAAAAATATATGTCCTTCCCAACCTCTTGATTAGTTATAAGACATGTCAAATTGTCCTACTTCACATAATAATATTTATATAACAGAATGTATTACTTACACCTGGTCACCATGCAGAAACTCTCACCAGGATGTTATTAGGAGTCAAGTTAAAGGTGCAGGTATAAATATATTTAAACCATCCTGGATACAGGTGATTGCCATGCATTTTAAGTTGCTTTAGGGAAAAAGATGAAGTTATTGTTTTTCCTAGATAGCAGTATTGTTAAACAATCTTTACCATAGAAAATGATTTCCTATCTAATGTAACATTTTCAGATAATTGTCTTTTATTGTCAAGATGGAGGAGTCCTACCCAGATCTAAACTATCTAGGTAGAGTCATTTTATATACTTTTGTGAGATATTTTAAACTTGTAAGCTCGACCTTTGTAACATCCCCCCTATATAACTGCCACCACTCCACAGTGCTGGCCTTCATAATCTCACACCTGGATTATTGCAATAACCTTCTTGGTTAGTCTGCCTGCCATAAGACTCTCCCCACTCCAGACCATCCTCTATTTAGTGGTCAAAGTCCCTAAGTGCAGGTCTGACTATGTCACATTCCCCCTACCTCCCTCACTCCTCACTCAATAAACTGCGGTGGTTCTCTATTACCTCAAGGATCCAATAGAAAATCCTTAGGCTGGCATTCAAACTCCTTCATAATCTTCCTCCTTCTTACTTTTCTAATTTTGCAACTAAAACTCCCCTTTTTTCCCATGTACTGTATGATGCAGTGACACTGGCCTCCTTGCTGTTCCTCACACAAGACACTCCATCTCCTCCTGACTCTTAAGTATTTTCACTGACTGTCTCCCATGTCTGAAATTCTTCCCCCACCCCCACGCCCCACCATTTGTATCTTCTCCTTTCCCTCACTTCTTTCAAGTCTCAGCTAAAATCTTATTTTCTACAGCAAGCCTTTTCCAACATTCTCTATTGCTAGTGCTTTTCCCTCTGTTTATTATGTTCAAATGTATCTGGTGTATATCTTATTTGTACATAGTTGTTTTCATGCTTTCTTCTCCATTAGACTGTGAACTCCTTGAGCACATGGACTTTTGTCTTTCTTTGTATTTCTTGGCATGCCAGGGCTAAGCATGATGCCTGGCACAAAATAAGCACCTAATAAACATTTGTTGACTGACTGACTTGTATTTATTGCACATCCCTTCATTTCAGAGTAGGGAACTACAGATGTGGAATATGTCATTGACTGTCAGAGACTATGTTGTTCAGTTTTGCTGAACTGCTTTTTTCTCCTTTTTTAATTTCTGTCACCTGGGATAGTTTGCTGGCTAGTAGAGGGGTGGGATATAATTGGGAAGGAATGTGATATTTAAAAAGTACTAATAACAATGAGATCTATTTTAAACTTGTATTTTTTTTTATTTTGGTGTTTTGATATTTGCCTTTTATTTATCAGGAAAACTTTAGGGAATACTTAGCATAATTAATACTATCAATAGTAATAATGATAGCTAACATTCATATAGTGCTTTATGGTTTGAAAAGCATTTTTCATATATACATTTTTATAATTGAGCCTCACAGCAGCCTTGTGAAAGAGGTACTTCTATGAATACTTTGATGCTTCTATGACTCTCATCAGTATGAGTATTTCCATGTTGAGTGTATATTGCAACTTATCCAGGGTCTTTTCATTTGTTCAATCAATCAGTCAATCAACAGGCATTTTATTAAGCACTTACTATAAGCTAGGCACTAGAGTAACTCCTAGGAATACAAAGAAAGGCAAAAATATGGTTCCTGCCCTCAAGCAGCTCGCATTCTAATGGAAGAGAAAATATGTATAATCAAAATATATATGAAATTAGAGGTAATATCAAAAGGAAATGCACTAGCAGTGAAGAAACTGAGAAAGGCCTCCTACAGAAAGTGAGATTGCTTGAAAAGCAATCCAGGTAATCCAAGAAGTAGAGGTAAGGAGAGAAAGCATTCCAGGCATGGGGGAACAGCCAGTGAAAGGGCCTAGACTCAAGATTAGAACGTCAAGTGCAAGAAAGAGAAGAAAGCCAGTGTTACTGGATCACAGAGCACCTGGAGAGGGGAGGGAGTAAAATACAAGATTAGAATGGGGCCGAGTTGTAAAGGCCTTTAATGCCAGCAGTAATATGGAACCACTAGAATCTGTTGTGTGATATAGTTAGGTTTATGCTTTAGGAAAATCACTTTGGCAGCTGAGTGGAGGATGGATTGCAGTAAGAATAGACTTGAGATAGAGATACTACTTGGGAAAATACTACAATAGTCCAGGCCTGAAGTGATGAAGGCCTTCAGTGGGACAGTGGCTGTGTGAGTAAAAAAGAAAGGGACATAGAAGGGAGATGTGAGGTAGGAATGACAAGACTTGAAAACAGATCAGGTATGTAGGGCGAGTGAGAGTGAAAAGTCAAGGATGACATACCAAGGTTATACTTTTGGGTAACTGGAAAGATGGCAGATCCCTTGAAAATATCAGGAAAAATGGGGAAGAGGAAAGATTTGAAGGGAAAGATAATGAGTTTTGTTCCGGACATATTGAGTTTGAGATGCCAAGATTTGCACCAGATACATTCGATAGGCATTTGGATCCATATTTGGACTATATACATAGTTCTGGGAATGAGCTTCATAGAGATGATAATTGAACCAATGATTGATGATGAGATCACTTAGTAAAACAGAGAGGAAGCATAGAAGAGAGTATTAAAATCTTAGGGGATATCCATGGGTAAGACCTTGATGAAGATGAAACAAAGTTTTAAGGTAGAGAAGGAAGACACACAGGTACTAAGAAAGCCAGAGGAGCGCAATGTCATGAAACACTTAAAAGAGGAGAGAGTATGTAGAAGATGAGTGAGGTCAACCACATCAAAAGCTGAAGAGAGGTCAAAAAGAATGAAGACTGAGAAAATGTCATTAAATTTGGCAATTAATCTATCTTAAGTTACTTTGGAAAGAGCAGTTTCAGTTAATGCTTAAGTCAGAAGCCAGATTGCAGAGGCTTTAGGAACAGGTGAGCAGAGAGGAAGCAGAGGCACCTAATGGAAGTTACTTTCTCAAGAAGTTTAGCCAATAAAGGAAGAAAAGATGTAAGACAATAGTGAGTGAGAATGATATAATCAAGTGAGGGTTTTTAAAGTATGGTGAAGATATAGGCATATCTGCAGGCTTTAAGGAAAGAGCTGGTAAATAAGGAGGAGTTGAAGATTGGAGAGTAGGGCTGATGGGGAGGGAGTATGAAGAAAATGGGAAGGGATGGGGTCAGGGGTGCACAATGAGGGATTTGTCTTGACAAGGAGTAGAGATATTCCTTCATTTGGGAAAAGGTAAAGGAGATAGTGGAGGAAGATATCTTAATTGGTGTTATATAAAGAGGAGGGGAGAAAGAATTTTTGGCTAATGACCTCCATTTTATCTATGAATTTATGAGACAAGGTCCTCAGCTAAGAGGGCAAGAGAAGGGATGCTGAAAGATACTTGAGGAGGAATCAGTCTTGTGTGATTGTCTGATCCATTTTATCCAATAGAATCCACATAGAATCTAACTAATATTATAAAGGCTTCCTTCTAGGTCTTTTTTAAATTTTAAGGGCACCAGAAGAGTACTAGCCTACCCTTCTGTTATCTTCCAATTATTGTTACTTACGTACATGAGCAGCCCACCTCTTTTTTCTAATCATATGTTCTTCAGTGATATTCCTTGTGCCACTTTTTGAGTATGATTCGTCACTAGAAATATCCTGTAGCTTTCTTATGTACCCACTGCCACACATATCTACCTCATCTTTTGGGTCATTTGGAATATTTAATTATTCTGGGATTGTGCTGTTGTGATGTATTGCTATAGATCATTGAAAAAGTGAGAAAGGATAATGAGAATTTCTTTTGAAAATATGGGTTGAGAGGGGACATAATCCAGATGGCAGAGAAAAAGCAGTGACTCTCCTGACCTCTCCCAAATTCCCCTCTGAACAACTTTAAAATGACAACTCAAAATGAATTCAGGATTGGCAGAATCCACAAAAGGACAGAGGGAAACAATTTTCCAGTCCAAGATAACTTAGAAGGTCAGCAGGAAAGATCTCACATGAGGGTGAAAGTAGAGCACAGTCCAATATAGGCAATGCTTTGGCAAGACAGCCTCATGCCATGGCTTGGTAACCTAGCAACTGGGCTTAGGAACAATTGATTTTGCTGAAGGACTTCTAGTGTTCTCAGCCCACAGACAGTAAGGGAGTCAGACAGCTGGAGGAAAAGGAGATTATGGGGGTTTGTTTCCTGGCACTGGCTGCAGGACTCTGTTGCATTGCCTATATGCACATATAGTCATAGTCCTGGTCTCAGTCCCCAGGGTGAGGAGTAGCACTGGCACCTAGTGCTTGTGGCTGAAGGGGAGCAAGAATCCTGGTCACAGTTGCAGGGTGGAAAAAGAGTGCTTGTGGGTGTGCACAGACCAGAAAACAGGCCAGAGGAGCAGTGAGTGCACCTCTCCTTAGATCATACCACTTTGGAAGAACTGAAAACTTACAGACCTCCCAGAACTGTTCTGAAAATAGCAGTATGAAAAATCTGAAGCTTGGGACAGTATTCTCTCCTCCCCCAGGAGCAGAGCCCAACA